TCAGTAGAAGCACTGATTATATTAAAAAAAACGTGGAAATTGACCGAATGAGATGGGCTAATAGGCTCGAATGTGCAATTTGTCGACTAATAAGGCGTGAAATACTCCACATTTTTATGAGTTTTTTGCAGCTATGCAGTGCAGAAAACGCATATTGACGAGGGGTTGTCTGTGTGTCTGTGTGTGTGTGTCTGTGTGTTCGTCTGTACCGGTTTTTCATCTCGAGACCGGCAAAAGCTACAGGGCTGAAATTTTGAAGACATAATCTATATGCACGTGCGGGCCCCCATCCCCGAAATGGGCGGTCTTACCCGCGTAGTACCCGCGCAAGAGCCCGCCAAAATTTTTCTCAAGTAAGTTGAAGCTAGAAGACTGAAATTTTAAGAGATGTTCCCCATCCAAGTAGGTATTAATGAGCTGAAACCCAGCCTCCGGTTAAGTGTGGTACCCACGTACGGGCCCGTCAAAATTTTTCCCAGGTAGTTTCATAACTCGGGGATCTGCGATGCTAGAAAACTGAAATTTTAAGGGGATATTCTTCGTCAAAGTAGGTATTAATGAGCTCAAACCCAGCCCGCGGTTAAGTGTGGTACCCGCGTACGGGTAAGTTGATAACTCGCGGACCAGAAAAGCTAGAAAGCTGAAATTTTAAGAGGGTGTGTCCTACCAGTCTGGCGGCCAGTTTTAATTTGTTTAGCTAGAAGCATTTGCCGAAAAAACCGGTGCCGGTAGCGACAAAAACTGCGGGAAACTATGCAAAAAACGCATCTTCGCACGGGCAGCCCGTGCGTTGGCCAATTATTCTTTTTTGATTTGCAGTTTTTACGAGGCGCAACGCCGTACGCTCGTTCATCTGCTGTGTCAATGTTTCAACAGCAACCACAGTACCATCCTGAACAGTTTTTTCCGCAAACTGCAGCGCAGAGTTTCGTCCGACCGCCGTCGCCGTACAACCCCGAGCGGCCTCAGCATTTGAATCTGGCCCTTGCTGCACATTCCAGTGGCTGGCGATACGCACCGCAGAGTGTCAGTGGCCAGAATACGGTCGGTCGTGTCCGCGAGCTCATCATCGATATTCTTACTTCACCTGAATGTGAGGTAACCGAGAAATTTTGTTTCACCCAATCTTCAGAGTCTTATTATTAATATCAGCGGGCGCGATTTTTAGCGTCCTTGCTATAATTTTCTAGGCTTTCCACATGAGGAAAATTCTTAGTACATTTTCTCTCTGACTTTGTCCTGACTTTGCCGAAATGAATCGAATTTCTGCCGAGGATTCCTGTTAGTTTTGAGGCCTGTATTTTTACGCTTTAAGCCCGTTAATTGAAAAAGATTCACTTTTAGCCGTTTTGATTTGCAGGTTTTGAATTTTTAGGGGCAGGATTGGTTGAGTTGATTTTGGTAAATTTCCTCATAAAATTTTCGTATTTTATACTCATCCTGAAACATAGTATTTGTAAGGTTGGGGCCAAGGTTTTTTAAGAATTAAGCTCATGTACTTTTTGCTTTATTTTAAAAAAGCTTATCTGAGCCTTAAAGCAACTAATTGATTTAGTAACAAATTTTGACGTTAGGTTCACAGCGGGTTTTTTGCCTTATCTTGTTTGGTACTCACTAATACACCACATCCTTTAGTTGTCAGCAAAGTAAGCCAAGTTTGCCCATCGGATTTTGCTTTCTTGCATAGTCGCAGTGGCGTTCTGCATGCCTCTTACCTGTTGGAAAGCCCTTTCTGGTCATGAGGAACACTTTGAGCATCCTTTGTTCTATCGTTGTTCTCATTATAGCTAGCGTTCGCTTTTTATGCGTTTTTCTGATGCAGCACTATAGCGTTGTTAAAGCGAGCAAAGCGCAAATTGTCGAGAGGTCGTTCATTTATGTGTGTGTGTGTATGTGTGTGTGTATTAGGAAGCGGGTGAACTTTGTTGCCCACTTTCAACCTAGCAGTCAGAAAAGCTAGAAGGCTGAAATTGGAGTCATATTTTTATTGCATGTGTCACCCTCCCGTTTTAAAATCTTAGCTCATACGTCCCTAGACATCGCGTACGGAGACTTGCAAATTTCTTTGGCGGGAAACGGCTTCGTGTTCCATACAAGATAGAAAGCAGAAACTTTGCACAGATATTCTCTGTGCACGTATGAGTTAAAGATCAAATTCAGCTATCGGTCGTCGCGCGCAGATTACATCAAAGTTCGTAGTCGGCACTGTGCTAATTCGAAAACTAACCGGAAAACAGTAGCTGAAATTTTGTCAGAATATTTGTTGTCCGATTGAAATTCATACACCTAAATTGAGTTCCGATTTGCACTTGCGCCATGACTTAAAGCACTTTAATGATATTTGTAGCGATGTGGCTATTTTGCTCCTAGATAAGCTGCGAAGCTGAAACTTTGTAAGGATAGTTTATGTACATGTGTGGTCTTAATTAGTTTGGAGGTGTGCGCGCAGACATGGGGAATTCTCAATTTTATCGTAAATTCAAAAGCGAGTGCATTTTGCAGATTTCACAATCCCCGTCCGACTTCCTTCAGATTCGCATTTTTTTGAGAAAACAAGCATTTACTGAAAAAACGATCGGGCTTCATCCAAAAAACTGATAGTCATATGTCTAGAGGCTTATGTGGCATCATAATGCAACACCTTCATCCCAACCGCTGCCTTTTCATCCCACATTCCAAAAAAGGTCAGAACACAGGCAGTGAGTCCAAGTGTTAGGCTGCAGCGCAGGAATCATTGCTGCTGTTAGCGATTTGCATGTTCAGCGACAAAACGCGTCGTCACACCGGCAAGCCTGCTGCGTTGTAACCTGGGTTTGCTTTTGCCAGTAATCACACTCTGCAACTTGTGTCGCCTACTCTAGCTTTTTGCCGTGCGGTTGTGGTCCTGCTGCCGTAAATGGTGGTAAACTTCGACCAAAAAAAAAATCTTCAACTTGACAATTTTTTTGACCGGCTTGTGCATTAAAGTGAATAAAAGCAATGTGTTTTTGTCGAGTTGCCTGTGTTCTCTTCCTTAACAGTTCACACGCAGCCCTTATCAGTCTTTTTACGTAGTTCAGTACAGCGCGTTCTCCCGTACAGCGCTGAATGTTTTTTTTTGTAGTCAAGGAATAGGACATATCGCTGGTCCTTGCGAACAGCTTGTGCATATGAGCACACAAATAAATCGGGTGCAGATTTTTTTTGCCGCTTTTCTTTTGTAGCAAAACAGTTTGACTCTTTCCAGATTCTGTTTTTCTAGGGTTGGATTTTTCGGTTCTAATGTTAGTGCCACCACTACGGGGAGCGATTTCACTTTTCATTTAGTATGCTGATTATCTCACTTTACTGATAAGTACAAGAGAATTTCTTGCGTGCTGACGCGCCGATATCCGTTTTCGTTTTTAAAGGCAGGGGACAATATAAGGGGATTCGCTTCAGCACTTTTCCGGGATTCATTAATTGCCAATAAATTCTGGCTCTTTAACTTCTTCACGTTTCACTGTGAAGGGCAAATAGCCTTCTAAAATTGTTTAACATTGAAAACGAATTTTGTAGTTTGGTATAACGAGCTCACGGCTGCTTGCTTTGCTGAAACATGCGTGCGTTACGCACGGAGTATCGAACTTGCCCCCAACAGTTGAAGCCTTCGAGAATTTCCTGGACTATCACATGGCCGATTATGTTGAGGGAGGGGATGGTATTTATCGTTATCGTCGTCCAAGAATATCCATTCAGGTTTGCCTTCATTCTTTTTTTCTTGCCAGCAATTAGTCTACAGTAGTTTATGCAACATTAGGCTAACTTAACATTCTGTTTATGAATGTGCGTTATTTACCAAATGTGTCAGCAATATGGCTGCCTGCTTTCGACATTTTAGGAGGATTTTCTTTTTTTTGTTTTTCAGGAGACAGGAACCGCAAATTCGCCTGTTACAGGCCCAAGCCGTATTGGAACTCCTTTAGGGGTTTCCCCGTCGAATGACGCCTCTCATAAATGCACGAATGTGGCACCTGTCGTGACGGAGCGTGAAAATGTGAAAACACCGCCACAGACGGAAAAGTCACACGTTGAGGAGAACGTTTTGGCGGCTGAAGGCGTACCCGAACAACAGGAAATGGTTGTACGAAGGGGCGAGGAGGAGTGTAAAATGAGTGATGCGAGAGCAGCGGGCGACACGACTGCATCTTCTGGAAATGATGTGAGTATATTCAGTGCTGTTTAGTTGTGATTCATACAGCGATTCATACTACTTACGATACGAAAGCCCCGGACAGTCGGTGTGAGAATCCCATGCTTGTGAAGTTGTTATTCGAGGGAGACAAAAATGAAAGGTGGGAGGGGAGGGAACCTTAAGCCTTGCATCTCGCGTAATTTCAATAAGC